AATATCGTAAATATTTTACACCATGTACATATTATATATCAGCAAACATAGAGTATTATAACGCAATAGATTTCATCCGTCAAAACATCACAGAAAGAGGGGCAGCCTGGAATTTTACAATGGCATCTGAATGCACTAAGACGTTCAACTGGTCAGGAGGTGAGAGTTGCGGAAGATTACGGTAAACTTCAGTTACAGATCTCCATTACGAATATCGAAGTATGAATAAAGATCACAGCTTGCTATGACGTGTACTTCATTCCTGCAGAATTAGCAATGTCCTTAGCTCTAAATTGTATGTCTAAATGCTTATGTAGACAAGGACCCAAATGTATATAGGCATGACCATATTATATTCTACGCAAATATCACCACATTTAAAAAGAAAGCTAGATTGAGTCTTTGAAGGGCATTAAGAACTGATACACACAAGGAAAAATATTTATGGATGTCAACGGAGGAACACTGCGTTTCGGAATATATACTTTCTCCTTCATCAGGTGAATATTATTAAATGCTATGAGGCAGAGAACATATATTTGTACCTGTAAAAACAACAAAAGTAAAAAGATAGCAAAGAAGGGAACGCAACAAGGGAAGCCAACAGATAACTGGCGCTGATTTACCCGCCTCCCGTTTGCCCATTGTCCATTTCCCATTACCAATCATTCATAAGTTAAGTTTTGGCTTTAATTTGTCCATTGATAATCAACCATCAACGTCTATTATCTCCACCCTAAAAATATGTAGTGTACTGAGAAAGTGGTATCCAAATATAATGTGTGTTACTGTTGACAACTTTCTTAAAGGCATTGTTGGTTCAAAGCTTTCGGCCATAGAAGCCGTGCCATTTTTCTCTTGTCAGAGGAGAACACAAAGTATACGTCATCTGGACTAACATTTTTGGTTCGGTGGCTGGGTTAGATTGCCAACTTTGTGTTCTGGCGATTGGGTGCCCCACTCACAGTGTGGGTTCAAATCCCGGACGGGACTCAACCCAAGAAAGTACGAGAATCTGTACTTTACTCCGAAAGTGTTATCCCATTTATAACATTTGTTGTCAAGAAAGCACAATAAATGTATATTCGGCTTTGGATAGGTAATGATATCACAGACATATACGGATATTGATGATGACTTGGAGGAGCTTCGTAGCGCACGTCTTCTCAATTCAGGGATTGGTAAATCCAAATATGTGTGTGCGCGTGCGTGCGTGCGTGCGTAAATGTGGGCCTGTTGGATGTTACATAAAACATTCATCTTGAGCGTGATGGTAGTTCGAGTTGGATAAGCATGTTAACTATATGATCTTCTTTAGGCAGAGAATGCCGCGCATGAATATATTGATGAAATTCCTAGGTACATGGGGCCTTTTCGTCCCCAGGAATACCCACAGTGGAGACTTCAATGGGGATAGGGTGTACACAATGTGCTGCCTGGTAGATTGTGTGTCATCAGACCGGACAACGTTGGTCTTTGACTGATTGTGGCGTAAAACACACTTATTCATTTACTTATATCGGAAATTGAATGTTCATCTTAATTGTTATTGTTGAACATGTATTATATTTTTAAAGAAATAAAACAGTGACATAATAACTACAACTTTATGTGAGTGCGAGTAGCTTTTTTGGAATGAGATGAATAAGTCTTATAAAGTTGGAAGCTACTTCACAACCGTGTAACTATGAATTGACTTTATTGGGTAATCAAAAAAGAGATAGGACCTAAAATAGCCAAATTTCATACGATTTCACTTGTCCACCATCTTGGATGCAAGGCGAAAACATTTCAGCGCGTTTGAAGCCACTGAGAATGCCCCCTGCAGAGTTGGACGAACATTCTGCGGTGGCGCGGCTGAGTTGACTAGAGGCTATCAGCAGTATTTACTGTCCAGGTTATTTAGGTCCGTTGTTTGTGTGTGTTTGTGTTTGTGTTTGTGTGTGTGTGTGTGCGTGCGTGTGTGTGTGTGTACGTGTTTGCGTGCGTGCGTGCGTGCGTGTGTGGGTTGGGGGCGTGGGGATGAGATGGGGGGGATAGATGATAGATTTAGCAACAAGTAAGGTCATCTTGAGTGGGAGGGTATTCGCAGATGGATTAGCATATGAACTATGGTTCTCTTTAGGCAGAAAATGAGGACCCACGATGTTCGACTTGGTAAGAGTGTGTTATCAAACATCACAGCATTGTTTTTTTTACTGACTGTAGCGTCAAAACAAACTCATTCATTTACTTGAACTGAATGTTCATCTTAATTGTTATGGATAGTCACGGAGCAATGATCCAGAAAACAGGGTGTCATTAGATAGAAATAAACTAAGTAATAATAGGATTACCAGAAAAACGGGGTTTTACACACAAGCCAATAAACTTCGCTCATTAACACCAGATTAAGTCAGTACAAGATTGAAAACTGCCCCATAATTATGTATGACATGCTTGTCGGGTATTGCTACATACATATGTGAAAACACAGTTATTAAAATGAAGAGCAAAAGTGATGAAAGTTACCAATAAACGTGTATAAGTGTTATATCGTCACTGCAAAAATAATGATTGTTTGTCTTTAGTATTAACATTCAAATACGTTATATCTGTATTAGCGATATTGTCTTCGTTCCCCCGTGATTCAATCGTTAGCCGTACTATCTCGTAGCATAATAAATTGAATTTCTGAAGACATCACGATACAGTTTTTACGATGCATCACGTCTGCACTAGCGCTTGATAACAGCCTTGTGTTTGGGTGTATCAGTGGTTTAAATTGCTGCTCTTGATATTGTTGATTAAACTTTGATACTATGAACAATATAATGTTATGTGAGAGGTTGACTTTAGAACGGTAACATACTAATAGTATATAGGATGACATAAACAGAACAATGAGAAGTTCGTCCAGATTAGTGTATAGGCAACATTTAATAATTAAAATAATTACATTCAACAACTCCCCTTTTAAGTCTATTTTCCTGACTTATAAGTAAATGCAAGAACAATCGGCCGGAATACATTGTATAGTTCTTGTCCACTTCTATATGACTATATAGCATACAATAAGCTATCGGGTCCCGTTTAGATCGGTTTGGGTGGCAGCCTAGATAGCCATAGAATAGTTTCATCTTTGAATCTCCCATATCACTGGGGATCCTCTTCAATTTAAATGGAGTTACTTGTTACGATTCCGAACCTTCACGTGACTGTGTTTATGAAACATTGTCAAATAGTGGTGACATTAAATCTAGGAAACAATACGCGAAATCGCGCATGCACAGAACGGAAATTTGGTCAAGGCATTAAGTAATCAGCATGCGCAGAACGATTGATTTCAGTACTTCCGCTTAGCGCTTCGAGTGCAGCGTCAAACGCGGTCCTGTAATCTAACACGCGAGGACTGACCAATGAAATCTGAGAAGTAGAAATACCGGTAGACGCTGTTGCTTGATTGACAATGTCAATCAAGAAAGGGAGGAGCTTAACGGTATCGTTCTCTCCCAGTAAATTCCGATGTCAAATAACGACGTTATTTGGACGGAAAAACGATGGTTTGAAAACGTCCAAATAACGTCGTTTTTCCGTCCAATGACCATATACGGAAAAAAACGACGTTTTCGTGTTTGCAGTGTCATCCGTCTACTTTACTTCAACAATGTGTATTGTCTGTTTCAATGTGATACATGTGATCTAGCAGTCTGGTATTCCGACTGCAAGGGCGACCGCGAGCAGGATGTGCTGCTCGGTGGAAACTCGTCCAAGGGTCTTTGTGTATGAGCCGGAATCTCCGCTCACCTGTATTTTGTTCGTACGAGCCGGCACCTCCGCTCAACTTGTTTATGTTATGTATAGTTGTTTCACCGATATTGACAATGTTGTTATTCACTTATTTAATTTTACACGCCTGTATATCTTATATAATGTCATCTCATTCATCTCAGTCAAGTGTAGTGCATGAAGCAACTAATTGTCAACCTGTCGATGTCATTTGCATTGTACTGTATTTGTACTCCATATTGTCATTATTTTTAAAAAGCTTTTGAGGACAAAAGCTCCACGACGTTCAGGGGTATTGTTATAGTGCAAACCATTTAAATACTTTTATTTAATATTTCATTTATCTAAATACCTAACTGGTTCAACATGTTTCCAAGTGCACCGAAATTCTATGCCCTTTGTCTGTTTAAAATATTCAGCAAACATTCGACGTATCCCCTCTTATCATAAGCCCCTCCGGGCAGGACCCTTAATCTCCAGGGCTATCTATAAATTTCAATTAACACCTCCTAACGTCGCCGGATCTTACGTCTATACATACACGTTGGACAATGACCTTGCCACACGTTACGTAATACCTCGCTCTACAAAACCCGACTGACATGGTCAGTCAGAGAGACAGCCTAGAGAAGAGCCAGAAGGTAAGTGACAGAACGGTTCTCCCACCCGGGAACATTGGCCACTCGGTCCCGGTGTGCGTTCTGTCACGTTATTATCAACATGTACCTTATCGAATGTCATTTCAACTATCAACAATAAATATGGCTGCTGTCGTCTAAACTTCACCCCTGAGTTTTGTCTTCCGTCTCCACCCTGAGCTACCATCCGAGGGCCGAAAATATACGCCCTTGGACAATATTAATGTAAACCGATTCATTGATCAACACAAACAGACACGCAAAATACATAGATACGAGCCTAAATAAAAGCAATAATCTTCAACGCAATGTTAACCCCCAATTCATCACACCTCACGTTATCATTTAAGGCACCAACCATCTAATATTCGAGATGTGTTTTTCAAAACATCTCACTGCACAGTGAATGATATCAGTTTTTGTGAAAAGCCTGGGCACATACTATTTGTTCAGCATCCACGGGAAGAGATTATTTTCTTAACTCGATTGTCAAATACCCCAACAGATATAATGGGCATTAAAAGCAAGTGAAAATTATGTCTTCCACATTTAATGTCAAACTGAATCACACCAGTTCAAAACAGATATTCTTACTTGGAGGAGCACCAGATGATGTTGGTACACAGGATGTGTCCATTTCTTGTGTTTGAGATTGTGAAGTCATCAATGACATGACGGGTTCTTGGCTGACAGATGTGCCTTGTTCGGCAATACGACGTGTCAGAGTAGTCACTGCTGTTGGAAACAATGCATAAAACAACCATTTTAGGGGTTAATACTCTTGTGTTACTATCGGTATATTAGACATAGTTGAAATTCGATATGTATTCACTGATGCATGAAGGTAATGGTGACACTGGCGTCATGAAGATAATACTGGAAAATCAGATGGCCTTTTGTACCATGATATTGGCCTTTGTTGACTGAATATCACAATGCATTTAGACATACTAGCTAAATATGTATTACAAGAACAAAACACATAAAATGTCTTTTAAAATGTACAAAAATAGTTGTTCTCATTCCTTACCATCATTGGTATTACGAGAGTGCTTGTGCTGGCTAGACTGAAACATACCTGTAGAAACAGCTGCTGCTCCCAATGTTAGACTCCTATCTTCCTCCTTTTCCTCATCAGTTTCACTCTCTTCTTCCTCCACAGTGTCTGCTGTATGAACGTCCTCTGTTGCAACATCACCTAATGCTGACAAGGTGTTTCGGGTGGCTGTTGAGCATGGAACACTGTGGTGCCATTTACCCATTCTTTCTTTCGTCTTTTTATTGGATATTTGTTTTCCTTTCAACTTCTTTTTTCCTCTGGCATCGTGTTTCATTCTCTTGATCCCTTGCTTCAAAGTCCTCATTCTCTCTGAAGTGTCAGATCTACCCTCTTTCCTCAATACAACCCCTCTATTTATTGCCTTCTTTTCCTTTCTTGCTGACATTTTATCAGACTTAGTATGTTGTTTTAAACTCATTCTTTCGGCTATTTCATGTTGCAGTTCCAGTTTTCTCTCAGTGATGCGTAAGCTCCTTCTTTTCCCACTGCTCACCTGATATACATTCCTTGTTTTCTTTGGGTGGGTCGACTCTTTACTTCGAGTCTGCACTTCCTCATTTCCACGTTCTATCTTATATCTTCCTTTCCTCAATGTGGCCACGACCTTGTCTCTGGTTCCAATATCCCTTTTGCATTTACTTACTGGTGCATCTGTCCTTACCTTTAGTTGGGTTTTGGTTTCAACCTGGGCTCTTTTTAAACCTTTCTTTGGCCTCTTTCTTGTCATGTTTGAACCTTTATCTTTTTTCTCTACCTGCATTTGCCTGCTACCAGCACCTATTTCTACTTGTGACCTTTGTCGCTTTCCCCGTGATAATTCCATACTTCCAATTTCCACCTCCACTCTCTCCTTGGTTTCACCCTCTGTCTCACCCATCCTTCTTTTCTTTGCCCTGGTCAACCCTTTACTTCTAGTTTCCACCTCTTCTCTCTCCTTGGTTTCACTCTCTGTCTCACCCATCCGTCTTTCTTTTGCCCCGGTCAACCCTTTACTTTTAGTTTCCACCTCTACTCTCTCCTTGGTTTCACCCTCTGTCTCACCCATCCTTCTTTTCTTTGCCCCGGTCAACCCTTTACTTCTAGTTTCCACCTCTACTCTCTCCTTGGTTTCACCCTCTGTCTCACCCATCCTTCTTTTCTTTGCCCCGGTCAACCCTTTACTTCTAGTTTCCACCTCTACTCTCTCCTTGGTTTCACCCTCTGTCTCACCCATCCTTCTTTTCTTTGCCCCGGTCAACCCTTTACTTCTTGTTTCCACCTCTACTCTCTCCTTGGTTTCACCATCTGTCTCACCCTTCCTTCTTTTCTTTGCCACGCTCAGCCCTTTACTTCTAGTTTCCACCTGCACGCTCTCTTTGGCTTCATTCTGCATGATATCCGCCCTTCTCTTCACCTGCGTCAACCCTCTACATCGGTTGTCCACCTTCTCTCTGTGCTTTGCTTCATATTCTGTCTCCGTCCTTCTACTCTCAACCTGGGTCAACCTTTTACTTCTTGTCTGCATGTGCCCCTTGTCCTCATTATCACATACTGTGACATCCATCCTTCCGTGTTCTACGACCGCTGCTCACCATTGTCAATCATTGTTCAGATATTGTTATTTCTAGTGCGTTTCTTTTTGGTTATCATCAGCAATAACACAAGTGCCCTGCTGCTGATATTGTGTCTTTGCTCATCATTCAAAATTGAATAAAGATACCTGCACAAACGACAGAAAACAATATAGTTATGCATCTAATCACACCACTGCATTGTGCATCAAATCAAGCGTCTTCATATGTACATACAGTGGTAGTGCATGAACGATTATGCCTCAGCATGTTTATGAATTCTGATTGTAGTGACGTGACTATCGATGTAGGGGAGTGTAAATGATATACGCGCTATATAGCTCCTGCAGGATGAAAGGGGAGTCTTCATGGAGGAGTCAGTGTAATCTAAGCATACACCCATGTTTGATGGGGATGTATTTGATACCGATGTCAGAGGCGAAAGTACTTACATTAGTGAGTGAGTCAGTTAGGTTTAACGCCGCTTTTAACATTGTGTGTATGTGTGTGTGTGTGTGTGGGGGGGGGGGGGGGGCGGGGGGGGGGTATGTGTGTAGTGTAAAAGGGAGGTATGTATGCTGTATAATGTGTAAGGGGTAGAGTATATTAGGATAGAGGTGGCTCATAGTTTGTATTGCGTGTAGATGGTCTGTATTCTCTGTAGTGTGTAAGGGTTAGAGTGTATGAGGACGCTAGTGGCTGATGGTGTGTATTGTGTGTAGATGGTTTGTGTGCTGTGTGATGTGTAAGGGTGGAGTGTACAAGGGAGATGGTGGCTCATGGTGTGTATTGTGTGTAGATGGTTTGTAGGCTGTGTGGTGTGTAAGGGGTGGAGTGTATAAGGAAGACGGTGGTTCATGGTGTGTAGTGTGTGTAGATGGTATGTATGCTGTGTGGTGTGTAAGAGAGAGAGTGTATAAGGATGGAGGTGGTTCATGATGTGTATTGTGTGTAGAGGATATGTAGGTTATGTGGTGTGTACATGAGAGAGTGAATAAGGGAGGTGGTGGTTCATGGTGTGTATTGTGTTGAGTCTGTAGGCTATGTGGTGTGTAAGGGGTATAGTGTATAAAGATGGAGGTTGTTCACAGTGTGAAATGTTTATAGAGCATATATAGGCTGTGTGGTGTGTAAGAGAGAGAAAGAGAGTGTATGAGGATGGGGCTGATTCATGGTGTGTATTGTGTGTAGGTTTCTATAGGCTGTCTGATGTTTGAAGGAGAGAGTATATGAGGATGGTGCTGGTACATGAAGTGCATAGACGATATGTAGGTTGTGTGGTATATAAATGAGAGAGGGTATAAGGGAGATGGTGGCTCATGATGTGTATTGTGTGTAGATGATCTGCAGGCTGCGTGGTGTGTAAGAGAGAGAGAGAGAGAGTGTGTGTTTAAGGGAGGTGGTGGTTAATGGTGTGTGTATTGTGTGTAGATTGTTTGTAGGCTGTGTGTTTTGTAAGGCAGAGAATGTGTGAAGATGGAGGTTGTTCACAGTGTGTAATGTGTATAGAGCATATATAGGCTGCGTGGTATGTAAGAGAGAGATTGTATAAAGGAGGTGGTGGTTCATGATGTGTATTGTGTGTAGATGGTCTGTACGCTGCCTGGTGTGTAAAGGGTAGGGTGTATAAGGATGGAGGTTGTTCACAGTGTATATTGTGTGTAGGGGATATATAGGGTGTGTGGTATGTAAGAGAGAGAGAGAGTGTTTAAGGGAGGTGGTGGTTCATGGTGTGTATTGTGTGTAGATGGCCTGTAGGCTGTGTGGTGTGTAAGAGAGAGAGTGTGTTTAAGGGAGGTGTGGTTAATGGTGTGTGTATTGTGTGTAGATTGTTTGTAGGCTGTGTGTTTTGTAAGGCAGAGAATGTGTGAAGATGGAGGTTGTTCACAGTGTGTAATGTGTACAGAGCATATATAGGCTGCGTGGTGTGTAAGAGAGAGATTGTACAAGGAAGGTGGTGGTTCATTGTGTGTATTGTGTGTAGATGCTCTGTAGGTTCACAGTTTGTATTGTGTGTATAGGATACATAGGCTGTGAGGTGTATAAGAGAGAGAGTGTGTATAAGTAAGGTGGTGGTTCATTATGTGTATTGTGAGTAGGTGTCTGTAGGTTGTATGGTGTTTAACAGCGAGAGTGTAGAAGGATGGAGGTGATTCATGGTATGTATTGTGTGTAGGTGTCTGTAGGTTGTATGGTGTGTAAGAGAGAGAGTGTGTAGAATGATGGAGGTGATTCATGGTGTGTATTGTGTGTAGGTGTCTGTAGGTTGTATGGTGTGTAAGAGAGAGAGTGTAGAAGGATGAAGGTGGTACATGGTGTGTATTGTGTAGAGACCATATATAGGATGTGTGGTGTGTAAGAGATAGAGTTTATAAAGATGGAGGTGGTTCATAGTTTGTATTGTGTGTAGATTGTCTGTAGGCTGTGGGGTGTGTAAGAGAGCGTGTATAATGGAGGTGGCGCTTCATGGTGTGTATTCTGTTTAGAAGATATGAAGGTTGTGTCGTGTATAAGAGAGAGAGTGTATAAGGGAGATGGTAGTTCATGGTGTGTATTGTGTGTAGATCGTCTGTAGGCTTGCGGTGTGTAAAGGGTAGAGTGTATAAGGATGGAGGTTGTTCACAATGAGTATTGTATGTAGAGGATATATAGGCTGTGTTGTGTGAAAAAGGAGAGAGTGTATAAGGGTGGTGGAGGTTCATGATGTGATGGTCTGTATGCTGTGTGGTATGTAAGGGGTCGAGTGTATAAGGATGTATTTATTTCACAGTGTGTATTTTGTGTGGACTATATATAGGCTGTGGGGTGTGTAAGAGAGAGAATGTATAAGTGAGATGATGGTTCGTGGTGTGTAGTGTGTGTAGATGATCTGCAGGCTGTGTGGTGTGTAAGGGGTCGAGTGTATAAGGATGGAGGTGGTTCATGGTTTGTATTGTGTCAAGATGGTCTGTAAACTGTGTGGTGTGTAAGGGGTCGAGTGTATTAGAGAGGTGTTGGTTCATGGTGTGTATTGTGTGTAGATAGTCTGCAGGCTGTGTGGTTGTAGATAGTCTGCAGGCTGTGTGGTATGTAAGGGGTCGAGTGTACAAGGATGGAGGTGGTTCACAGTTTGTATTGTGTGTAGATGGTCTGTAAACTGTGTGGTGTGTAAGGGGTCGAGTGTATTAGAGAGGTGTTGGTTCATGGTGTGTATTGTGTGTAAATGGTCTGTAGGCTGTGAGTTGTGTAAGGGAGAGAGCGTGTATGAGGATGGTAGTGGTTCATAGTTTGTATTGTGTGTAGATGGCATGTAGGGCGTGTGGTGAGTGAGGGAGAGAGTGTATAAGGATGGTGGTTGTTTATTGTGAGTATTCTGTGTGGATGGTCTGTAGGCTGCGTGGTATGTAAGGGAGAGAGTTTATAAGGATGGCTATGTTTCATTGTTTGCATTATGTGTAAATTGTCTGTAGACTGTGTGGTGTGTAATGAGGAGAGTGTATCAGGGCCCTCGTCGTTTAAGGTGTTTTATGCGTAGATGTTCTGTAGGCTGTGAGGTGTGTACGGTAGATAGTGTATAAGGATGATTGTGGTTCATGTAGTGTATTGTGTACAGTGGATATGTTTGCTGTGTGGTGTGTAAGGAGAAGTATGTATAAGGGTGGTGGTTGTTCAAGGTGTTTTGTATGTAGAGCTTATGCAGGTTGTGTGGTTTGCGTGGTCGCTCATGGAGTGCATTGAAGAGCATATATGAGTCATTTTCAAAAGATGTCACTTTTTGAGTTTCCAAAATTACAAAATCCAATGGTTGATATAATATCATTTTTTTTGTTTAAATGGGGTAACAAATATCTGAAGCTGTCAGTAACATCAAATGGAAGTCATAATGATGCTTTTAAGAAAGAGGAATAACCAGTTACCATGGCAACTGAAACTTGGCATGTCTTTCCCATAACAATGTTTGTGTGAATTATTTTGGTTTGAAATTCATGAAAATGCAAAAAGAACACACGAAACATATTTATTTCTTCATATTTTTGTATATTAAACTTAAAGTGAGGATGAAGGGCATTTTTTTAGTCTCTTAATGACCAATATGTACTCAGTGTCAATTCTATGAATTACTGTTGCCCCTTCAACATAAATATTATGATTTCTAAAGTTTCAAGATTTTTGGGAGTTTTTTTATTTGATAAACAAAGATAAACTGTGATCAATTTATGTCTCATTTCGGAAACTAAATACATATTAAGATATATATAGATTTTAAATGAGTGCGTTATAGGAAAGACATGCCTGTTACAGGATTGACTATATTTGTTACAGAAAAGACATTGCAAATTCATATCATCAGTATGAAAAGAGTGGTAAAGATTATCTTAAATGTTTCTCATGTATATAATAATGCTTGCAAAAGTAATACCAGTCATTATCTTTTTCAGTGATATTGATAAATTTATTCCAAATTTTTAAAGGATAAATTCTAAAATCTGTTACAGTAAGGACAAATATTGTTACATGACAGAACAAATTACCATACAATGAATTTTAGATCACAAAGCAGTTTCCGCATTTTTACTGTAATAGAAAATGTGTTACTTTGAATAACAATGCACATGTTTGTGACATTTATATTTTTAAATGATTAATATGAAGAATGTTACCTATGACCTACATTATAATTGTTACAGGAAAGACCTAAGACCATACAGTACTGACAATGTGAAACGAAGTTTTGGTCAGCCTAGTTAGTTCACTATCATAAGCAAACAAAGGTTTACCAAACAGGGGTACCACCAGATGTAGTTATAGTTATATTTCCATCTCATTGTGAAATCTCCAGATTGATGTGATAGAAGACAGTTATGGTTAAGACAACATTTTGTTACATGAAAGACATTTAGAGAATAGTTTTCATGTATGGTTTCTATGATCAACAATCAAATGCAAAGTTTTTAAGGTTGAGCATTAATTTTACTAATATTGTGAAACACTGAAAGTATTTGGTAAACGAATCGTGGTATACTTGAAACAATAAAGACTTGGTCAACTTGTAGAATGAACAATTCAGAAAATGTCAGAAAAAAACATGACCTACAATTAGAAGAACACAACTTTCAACTGCAAGAAAGAATCTAAACTACAACCTGGAATGCAACACTTGAAACATCAAGCCATCTAAGAAGAAAGTTGAAAGATTATAGCTGTCTTCCCAAGGCATTATACCCCTTCATAGTGGCTTTAACTGTAGACCACATGTTATTGTCAACCTCACAATGAGATGATTCTGGAGTCTTTTGTAACTTTGGGATGATTGTCTCAATCACTAGCCCCCTCATCTTCAGCCTTCACCATCTCTCCTTCACTAGCCTCCTCATCTTCAGCCTTCACATTCTCTCCATCACTAGCCTCCTCATCTTCAGCCTTCACCTTCTCTCCATCACTAGCCTCTTCATCTTCACTCTTCACTTTCTCTCTATCTCTAACAGCATCTTCAGCGTTCACCTTCTCCTCTTCACTAACCACGTTTGGGGTAGATTGTGTATAGTGGTCTGTTCAAAACATTGGCCCAAGTGTGAATTTGCCAGATTCCCATAAAAGATTTGTTTTGAGTCGAAATATGCTTTGGACTATGTTGTCTGTGAGACAAGTTCCTGGAACATATATGTCAGAATACTGAGCATAATGACGTGGCAAGTTATGTCTCTTTACACTGACATCCTTCCTTTATGCCTTGTGACGGGAAATTACCATCAAGATCTTTGGCTTCATTGGCAACAAGTTCAGAGACTACTCTCACTGTCATTTCTGTTGCTCTGTCAATTGTCCCAAAAGCAAGTACACTGCTACATGATGGTGAGCAGTTACCATTTGATAACATAGTACAAGGATACAGCTCACCATTTGTTCATTGCCATGGTTAATTTAGTTCTACAGTTCCACTCTGAAATTCCACTTTGGAGTTGCTTTGTATTCCAGTCAAGCACACATTGCTATTCAGTAAACCTTCATGAAATCAGCATAAGTGAATGTCAAATTATTTTGATGATGTAATGAAATCTATACATTATCATACTTGAGTGTTTGTCTTTGCCTACAAAGACCTTTTCAAAAAATAAAGAAGCGTGGAGAGTTGAATTTTAGTGCAGTGAAGAAATGTTTTTCTCCAAAACTCGTATTCTAAAACTTGTTTGACATTTTAAAATAGAAAATACCCATAAGCTATTAGGTACTTCATGATCACTGCCATGATTCTATATTAAATGTAAAGTTTGTCTTTTCTATAACCATGGTACCATATTAACTCCGAAATCATAAACACTTATTTTAGCAAGCTTAGGAACCAAGTAACTAAAATCTTATTGATCCCTTTAGTACAATATATCATCAAACATAACAGAGAGTAGTTACTTTGATTCTGATTGTCTTATGGAAATGTAGAATGTCATTACTGAAGCAAAACTGTCTTTGCTGTAACAATTAGGTGTTTCAAAAATTTTGCATAAAATGATGAAGTGCAAGTTTATCCTACAAACTGCTTTATTGAAATAATTAATTAGAATATTGAAAAAGAACAGGGAGTAATTTACTTTGTTTCTTTATAACTTTTCATTTGCAAAATGTCATTAAAATAACAAAATATGTCTTTACTGTAACACATTTCTTATAAAAACACTATGTTCTGACAATGTTGCTCAAAATAATAAAATACAACTTTGTCTTTCAAACTGCTGAATTACATTATTCAGTTGGAATGTTGAAAAAGAACAGAAAGTAATAGTTTTCATACTTTATAGCTTATTAAGTGAAGAAAGTCTTTACCATAACAAAATCTGTCTTAGCTGTAACAAAATTTAGTGTTACAGGAAAGACTGTTACAGGAAAGACAAATCATTAGATAAAAAATTATATTGACTAATTAATGGTCCCTTCATGAAGCTGAATTTTCACACAATTTTCTGTTCATGAATTGGCACATAAACTTGGAACTTGAAATAACTATTTTGCATCTGTTCCATTGAATCATAGCGTTATGGGAAAGACATGAAATGAAAATACTCATCAGTTCCTTACCTTCTTGGTTAACTTTTGGTGCTTATTTGTTTCCTGGTGCACATGGCACATCACACTCCTATTGTATAGGAAATGGTACTAGGCATGACATAAAGTACTGATATCCTTGCATTGGGGATCATTGATTATTCCAAAGTTTTATGAAGTGTTACAGGAAAGACACAAAATCTAAGGACGGTGTTATATATAATTATTATTCAGGAATTATATCAGTTAGATTGAAATTACTCACTGAAATTCCTAAATGAATCTAGTTTTTATAAGATAACCACAGTAATATTATTTATATGCCAATACTTATAAAATGACAGTTTCTCAAATTTGAAGCTAAATGCACTGGGACAGGAAAAAATGCACTTTCTAACCATTTAAAATGCATAAAAAACACATAATATGACACAATGATTGAAAATAACTGTTTTACTAGATGCATTACTTTGCAGGTGATAATGTGAACAAATTGCAATGTCAATATATAGTTTTGTAAATTAATTTTGTTCGGGTTCGGACAGAAATAGTGACATCTTTTGAAAATGACTCATATATTGTGTGTAATGGAGAGAGAATATAAGGGTGGTGGTGGTGGTGTTTCACGGGGTGTTTTGGGTGTAGATGGTCTGAAGGCTGTGTGGTATGTAAGTGGGAGAGTGCATAAGGACTGGGATGTTCATGGTGTATATGGTATGTAGATGGTGTGTAGGGTGTATGTTGTGGTGGTGTTTCATTGGGTGTAGATGGTCTGAAGGCTGTGTGGTGTGTAAGTTGAAGAGTGCATAAGGATGGGGTGGTTCATGGTGTATATGGTATGTACATGGTGTATAGGGTGTATGTTCTGGTGATGTTTCATGCGGTGTTTTGGGTGTAGATGATCTGAAGGCTGTGTGGTGTGTAAGCGGGAGAGTGCATAAGGATGGGGTTGTTAATGGTGTATATGGTATGTAGATGGGGTGTAGGGTGTATGTTGTGGTGGTGGTTCATTTGGCTGTTTTGGGTGTAGATGATCTGAGGGCTGTGTGGTGTGTAAGTGGGAGCGTGCATAAGGATGGGGTGGTTCATGGTGTATAAGGCTTGTAGATGGTGTGTATGTTGTATGTTGTGGTTTTGTACCATGTGGTGTTTTGGGTGTAGATGGTCTGAAGGCTGTGTGGTGTGTAAGTGGGAGAGTGCATAAGGACTGGGTGGTTCATTGTGTGTATGGTATGTAGATGGTGTGTAGGGTGTATGTGGTCTAAAGGCTGTGTGGTGTGTAAGTGGGAGAGTGCATAAGGACGGGATGGTTCATGGTGTATATGGTATGTAGATGGTGTGTAAGGTGTACGTTGTGGTGGTGGTGGTTCATTGGGGGTTTTCGGTGTAGATGATCTGAAGGCTGTGTGGTGTGTAAGTGGGAGAGTGCATAAGGACTGGGTGGTTAATGGTGTATATGGTATATAGATGGTGTGTAGGGTGTATATTGTGGCGGTGGTTCATTTGGCTGTTTTGGTTGTAGATGATCTGAAGGCTGTGTGGTGTGTAAGTGGTAGAGTGCATAAGGACTGGATGGTTCATGGTGTATATGGTATGTAGATGGTGTGTAGGGTGTATGTTGTGGTGGTATTCCACTGGGTGTTTTTGGTGTAGGTGGTCGGAAGGCTGTGTGGTGTGTAAGTGGGAGAGTGCATAAGGATGGGGTGGTTCATGGTGTATATGGTACGTAGATGGTGTGTAGGGTGTATGTTGTGGTGGTGGTGGTTCATTGGGTGTTTTGGGTGTAGATGGTCTGAAGGCTGTGTGGTGTGTAAGTAGGAGAGTGCATAAGGATGGGGTGGTTCTATTGTATATGGTATGTAGATGGTGTGTAGGGTGAATGTTGTGGTGGTGTTTCATTGGGTGTTTTGGGTGTAGATGATCTGAAGGCTGTGTGGTGTGTAAGTGGGAGAGTGCATAAGGATGGGGTGCTTCATGGTGTATATGGTATGTAGATGGTGTGTAGTGTGTATGTTGTGGTTGTGGTTCATCGGGTGTTTTGGGTGTAGATGGTCTGAAGGCTTTGTGGTATGTAAGTGGGAGAATGCATAAGGATGGGGTGGTCATGGTGTATATGGTATGTAGTGACGGATGTTTTCAGGGTGTTGGGGAGAGATTTACCAGGGTGTAGTGGAGGCAGTATTCAGGGTGGGTGTAGGGGACAGAGCGTCCAGGATGTAGTGACGGATGTTTTCAGGGTGTTGGAGAGAGATTTACCAGGGTTTAGTGGAGGCAGTGTCGGGGTGTAAGTGGGTAAGAGGTATGTTTATGACGCACCGTGTCAACATATTGACACTGAAATATAAAATGAACGTGTTCCAAGTCTACAACTTGGGTCATACTGTTATGACATGCATGTATATCTGTATCTGCATGTATAGGGTGTATAAATCTATATCTTTTTTTCAGACATAAATCTATAGGAAGTATCTTTATCCAAATCTCAGAATGCACGAGGGGTAATTAATCACCACAATAATCACGCATAGTAATGAAGGACGTATTCTCCGCCGTTATCTTGAGTCATGCCTTGTCCGTTGGTTCACATCGATACTCGGCTCTCGTCTACCACCTGACCTAGATAATGTCCTCCATGTTTTAAGTTGTGTATTAATACTTCCGGGTTTGTACTCCGGACAGGACATAGCTACAGGTTGTTCTGTAGAATGATATACATAAATATCCCGATTTGAAAAGTGATAATTAATACACATTTGAACCTGCGCGTCTCATAAGCAATGTATTCAACTTAAACCTAGTTTCGGTATCGTCAGGGCTTCATTTACGTGAAATAAACAACATTCAGCATTGTAACCAAATACATTTATACATATGCCATTCTTTCAAATTAATTAGAATTGCTTGCTACTTTAGATTTACTTACAGTCAACGAAGTCACTGATACATTGCCTCGGAACAGGCCAACTGTAGGAGTGTGGACAAACCCAACTTATCTGTGACTGTAAGAGAACGGGGCTCCTCACAGAGAAGATATGCAATGAGGATTTCGTGTTATATAACCATAGCTCGGTAACTCATAACTACCGCTGGGTGTTATGCTCTGAAGAGTTACTTGCCTTGACTGTGAAGACAATCTGTAAGGATCGTCGGGGCAACTTTCTTCGTATAATTCTGACATACACACGTGGTCGACCAAAGCGGTGCAGTTGGGGTGGATGGGGGTCGGGTGGGGTTGGGGTGTTGGGGGGATGTGTGTGTGGGGTGGGTGGGTGGGGGGGTGGGGGGGTGGGGGGGGGGGGGGGGGGAGGGCATCCACACGCCATCATATTCGATCTTCTGTTGCTGCAAAATGATTATTTCCTCAAGATCTGTTTGTTTGTTTGTTTGTTTGTTGTTTAAAGCCGTACTCAGCATTATTCCAGCTATATGACAACGGTTTGTAAACCTTGTAATGTGTTTTGTCTAATTACTTAGCTGGCCACTTGAACCTGCACTATCAAAATGTATTATGGAATGTTCCACTGTACATATGGAAACCAAGGCTGTAGATAAGATGATAGTCTCAAATGAAATGCTCAGATAAGTATTCAGCCATGATTGTTATCTGTTTGAGACAGTAAAGAACTGGTTGTGGACGACTTTGTACATGGCTTTGCTAGGCCGTCTGCTATTTTTGAGCGTGGCTTTATTCCCTGATTCTCGGGGTTTAAATGTCAATATCTACATCGACACCAACGTTGTCCTCAACAGAGTTCAGGACAACTTTGTTGGCGTCACCCTCGACTCCGGCATTATTCAAACTGGTTTGGGAAAGAGTGGTCTCAACTTGTCGTGAGTTTTCTTTTTTTTCTCAAGTTAGCTGAATATGCGTCCTTAGTGGTCCACTTTCGCCTTGCAGAATTGTGTGTTCGATGTTTTCATTAGCATTGACATGGCACAATGAAGGTCACAAAAACATCTGAGCTCATTCTGTCATGGGTGGGTGCTTACTCTCTGCATCAAACTTGAGTTTTTCGAAATATTAACCTGAGAAGCTGTTGTACTCGTTATCAGCGATAACAGTGGCGTTACACTCATTCACTCACTCACTCACCCACTCACTTAAGCTGATTCTGTGCCAATTGTTTTTGAAATTCAAGGTATGTTAATGACATTTCAACTAAAGTTCGAATGGCTTTCTCACATATCATTTTCACCTCTAATCGAGTCGTTTCTTAATCCATGCTATTTTCAATTAGATCACCCAAATTGCTTAATCTGGCTGGGGGCTTCCAACCGAACATCCTTAGAATCGGCGGGACTGCCGAAGATGGCATTTCCTTTGACCCGAATAGCGTAACAGAAAACAACCAGGGGGATCTTTCAAGTATATATTTCTCCTTCTTATTTATCTTTGAGAGCAGGTTAAAATATTCGAAACTGGACAAAATATTTCAGTTGTTTGTTTATTTGTTTGCACTCAACAGTATTCCAGCTATATGACGTCAGTCTGTAAATAATCGAGCGTGGACCTGGCAATCCAGTGAGTAAGATCATGAATATCGACCGTTTGCAAATGCGATACGATGACATGCAATCAACCAAGTCAGTTAGGCTGAAACCTGATCCATTTGTCACCTCTTACAAGTAGTGGTTGTTGGGGACTTATATTATTCTTACCTGAACCCATCAACCCGCAACCAAACAGGAAGAACACCTCTAACGCATCAAGAAAGATTATTTCCTATTTTTGTACTGAATTCCAAGCTCCATAAAAATCCATACAAAGTTATTGCTGGGTCCAGCAAATGTACTATCATCCAGAAAAATAAGCAAGAAATGAATTTCTATAAATTCATAGAAAGTATTGGAGATAAATGGATTAAATATCATGATGATTCTCAAAATTGCAAATGGTTCGCTTATTTTGTTTCTTATCTCAGAAAAGACCCAATGTCATTTATGTCCAAATGTTTGGTTTTTTTTATTTTTGTTCACCGCGGATCCACATGACAATCTTAATGAAAAAACTTCATTCTTTGTTCCAAACGTGATGGCCATTCATATAGTTACATCTCTCTTCAAGGTTTATCGAGAAAACAATGTGTGATATGATGGAGTCTGGACCAGACATCACGAGGAAACGATCTACGCTTTTGAGATCCAATGACATGCATCAACCAAGTCAGCGAGCCAATTGTTCTCTTATGAACATATGTATATGTTTTTTCAGCTTCTGTTTGGGATGAAATCAACGCTTTCACATCCCTTGTTGGATGGGATCTGATATTTGGCCTGAATGTCCTTGAAAGACGAGATGGGCAGTGGGACCCTACCAACGCTGAGCTATTCCTAAATTACACATCCAAGAAAGGATATCAATTATATGGCCTAGAACTTGGCAACGGTAGGTGGGGCATAAGAGTGGTAAGGTTCAGGAGAGAGTGAGTGAGTGAGTGAGTTGGGTTAAACGCCGTTTTAAACATTATTCCAGTTATATCACGGCGTGTCAGCTTAATATGGGAGGAAAGCCTGAAGTGATGCAGGTCTCGTGCCCACGAGCACGGGTATGGTGCTGACAAACCTAGAACCATAATCGGGGCGAACCGGGATTCGAATGTGATGTGATTAACGTGGTTTGAAACCCGTTCATGGTGTCACCTTCCGTGACAGGAATAGTGCTGACGGACGCATGAAACCATCCCCACTCACTAGTTCATTTAGGACTTTGAAATAGGATCTCAAAATCCTGCTCTCTAAATATGTTTCATATTTCTATTTATTTCTTGCAGTCTATTTGAAATTTAACAGTGATATTCATGTTTCGTGGCTTTTCTGCGAGTTTGATGTGGGTAATGTGTAAATTTTTATTCAAATGAGTTTGATATTGGATCTGTGGTATCTTAGATTTGTCACTTTCATAGAGCCTCGGATGTTCCCCAAAAAGTTTAACCAGTCAGTGTCGGCCCAGCAACTTGGAAAGGATTTTGGAACACTAGAGAAGGTGCTCAGAGATCGGCCACACTTCAACAACACTCGAATTCTAGGGCCAGATGTTGCGGACATTTTATCAAACGATACCATCTCATATGTGGAAGAGTGAGTTTGTTTTCAAAGATTCAGTGTAAAATATCTTTGTGTGGATGGACCTTAATTTAACATGGTGCATTTAAACAGCAAGCATACACTACTTCCCCATGCAATGATAACGTCTATTCGAAGGAGAGCGGGGGACGGCTGTTTCGGTCCACTGGTCGCGGCACACCAAATTGACGGTAAGAAGATAGTACTTGTTGTTACCCTGCCTGGTGATAGGCATTAAGGGGATCGAAAAAGAACTGGCCTGCTGGAAAAGTAATATTTCACCCGACCACATCTTATTCGAAATATGCAACACCACATGACCGTTTTGTGTTTTGAAAATGTTTTTATCCTGTTTGGTGAAAAAGATTATAATAATTTTTGAAGGAATAGGAAAACTAAAATCTAACTATGTTGAGTGTATATTTTTTTAGTATATCTATAATTAACAATCATAATCCATATCTATTTATAATAGCAGTATTGGTTCCTTGAAGGAATATGGATCTTACAAATAACAATGACAATTGTATCTGTCGTCAACTTTCTCATTGAAAAATGGTGTGAGTGAGTGAGTGTTGTTTTACGCCGCTTTTAGCAATATTCCAGCAATATTACGGCGGGGAACACCAGAAATGGGCTTCACACATTGTACCCAAGTCGGGAATCGAACCCGGGTTTTCGGCGTGACGAGCGAACGCTTTAACCACTAGGCTACCCGACCGCCCCTTGAAATATGGAAACGAATGCTCCTTATACATATGCTTCTTGGTATTTCTGTAAATATCTCACATCTGTTGTTTTTTTAATTTCGCATTTAAGGTTTTTAGCTGCAGGCAGAGCCAGTGCGCTGGAGGGGGTAACGTTCCACCAGTGAGTATGAATAAAGTCGATGTTGTCATCAGCTCATCAAATGTTTGTTTGATGTATCCAAACCCCTTTTGCAGTCAGCCGTATCGGCCTACGAGATGCGTGTTGAGATTTGGAAAAGAAAACGTTATATTTCATGCAAAATGTGAAATACATTACGATATTGAAGGACAAAACACTCAGGTTATTCGCCACTAACGAATGCATACATACACAATTCTATAGCACATGTTTCTTGTATATGTACAATTGACTCCTTAAAAGGAAACATTATCGTGTACGTGACACATGTTCCTTGTATTTGTCTGTATAAACGACTCCTTAAAAGGAAACATACTCGTGTAAGTGACACATGTTCCTTGTATTTGTCTGTATAAACGACTCCATAAATGGAAACAAACTCGTGTAAGTGACACATGTTCCTTGTATTTGTCTGTATAAACGACTCCTTAAAAGGAAACATACTCGTGTATGTGACACATGTTCCTTGTATTTGTCTGTATAAACGACTCCATAAATGGAAACAAACTCGTGTAAGTGACACATGTTCCTTGTATTTGTCTGTATAAACGACTCCTTAAAAGGAAACATACTCGTGTACGTGACACATGTTCCTTGTATTTGTCTGTTTAAACGACTCCTTAAAAGGAAACATACTCGTGTACGTGACACATGTTCCTTGTATTTGTCTGTATAAACGACTCCTTCAAAGGAAACATACTCGTGGAAGTGGCACATGTTCCTTGTATTTGTCTGTATAAACGACTCCATAAATGGAAACATACTCGTGTAAGTGACACATGTTCCTTGTATTTGTCTGTATAAACGACTCCTTAAAAGGAAACATACTCGTGTACGTGACACATGTTCCTTGTATTTGTCTGTTTAAACGACTCCTTAAAAGGAAACATACTCGTGTACGTGACACATGTTCCTTGTATTTGTCTGTATAAACGACTCCTTCAAAGGAAACATACTCGTGGAAGTGGCACATGTTCCTTGTATTTGTCTGTATAAACGACTCCTTAAATGGAAACATACTCGTGTACGTGACACATGTTCCTTGTATTTGTCTGTATAAACGACTCCATAAATGGAAACATACACTTGTACGTGACACATGTTCCTTGTATTTGTCTGTATAAACGACTCCTTAAATGGAAACATACTCGTGTACGTGACACATGTTCCTTGTATTTGTCTGTATAAACGACTCCATAAATGGAAACATACACTTGTACGTGACACATGTTCCTTGTATTTGTCTGTATAAACGACTCCTTAAATGGAAACATACTCGTGTACGTGACACATGTTCCTTGTATTTGTCTGTATAAACGACTCCTTAAATGGAAACAAACTCGTGTAAGTGACACATGTTCCTTGTATCTATCTGTATAAACGACCCCTTCCTATGAAAATACATAATTACGTAACACATTTTACTTGCGTATGTCTTGCATATGTGACAACGTTCACGACATATCTTTGCCCTCACAGGGATAAGAAAATAATATAATTTCATTTCTTGAATTGATTTTAACTAATATACCTTCTTTATGCGAATATCTTTTTTAAATGAGGAAAAAGAAAATAAGGGTGTCGTCTGTTATTAAATGTCATGGTCATTGTGTAACAACTAACTAAATCATGGAGGTGCGGGGGGGCACGGGGGGCACGGGTGGCCCAGTCGTCTAAGGCGCCGCGATTCGCTGTGCAGAGTTGTGTCCCTTGGGTACGCCAGAAACCTGTGCTTGTGGGTTCGAATCCCGGTTCGCCTCCATTACGTTTCTAGGTTTGTCTGCACCATACCCGTGCTCGTGGGTTTCACCGAAGTTGTAAAAGTCTGAGACCTGCATCACTTCGGGCTTTCCTCCCACATTAAGCTGACACGCCGTGATACAACTGGAATACTGTTAAAAGCGGCGTTTAGCCCAACTCACTCACTCACCCACTACTAAATCATGATTGTAGTTTAAAGTCGATGAATGTAATATATACTCCCCCTTACGGTAGTACAAACGAGTGATTTATTCACAGTAAGTAAAGTAAACACCTTGCTTCCTTCTGCTTGTGTGAGTTTTATACTTTCAGTGATACAAGCACACTGACATTTTATTATCTCAAGGTATTTTGGAAATGGGGACAATGCAACCAAAGAGATGTTTACAGACCCAACCTTCATGGATACACTGAATGCTTCATTTGCGTCTGCACACAAGGCTACAGGAGCGTTGGCGTCCAACAAACCTCTTCTCCTGGGCGAAACAGGTTCCTTTTACAATGGCGGAGTGCTGAACATGACGGACACCTTTCTGGGGGGATTTTTGTGGGTATTTCAGACAATAGTCACGAACAGCTTCACAGTTGGGTGACCCGTGAAGATCCGGGGTAGAATAGGTCTTCAGAACCCATGCTTGCCGTAAAAGGCGACTAACGGGATCGGGTGGTCAGACTCGCTGACTTGGTTGATCACTGGATTGTCCAGACTCGATTATTTACAGACCGCCGTCATAAAGCTGGAATATTGCTGAGTGAGGCGTTTAACAACAACCCAACCAACCAACCAACAAACCAACAAACCAACCAACCAATCAACCAACAACAGTTTGGTACTGTTTGACCCTGTCCATCATTATCTAAACGTATAGAAGGATATGCATTTTCATTTGCTGTGATATCTAGCCATGCTTCACGTACAGAATATCTGTACTTTCTTGCTGAAGACGATTCCACTCCATGAGTCTCCAGCGCATATCATGAAGGTGTTTGAGATCTATGTGTTAATGTTCACCTATAGATGGATGGACAAGCTCGGCATGGCCGCCCAATCAGGCATTCAGAATGTGTTCAGGCAGGACTTGTATGGACTTGGATCAGCCAATCGCCTGTTGGAGTCATTCACATACGACCCCCTACCGGTGTGTATACATTACATGTGCTTCAATTACGACGGGCTTTTTCTAGAGGTAGGAACTTTGGGTTATTCACACACACACACAAACACGCACACACGCACACACACACACACACACACACACACACACACACACACACACACACACACACACACACACACACACACACACACACACACACACACACACACGCTCATGCTAGTCGGGATTTGTGGGATAGCCTAATGGTTAAAGCGTTCGCTTGTCACGCCGTGCTCTGGTTCGACTCCCAACGTGGGGACGTTTGTGTCAATCCCATTTCTGGTGTCCACTGCCGTGACATTTCTGGATTATTGCTTAAAGCTGCGTAAAAATCTTACTCACGTACTCACTGGTGTGTTTGACTTCGACATGAATTCACCTGACATGAAATACATTTCAAAGCTGTGTTACTCACAACACATAGCATCTTATCGCATCTCAGTTGCGTGGCTCGATGCTCTTGATGCTAATCACCGGATTGTCAGGGGTAAACTCGATTAGTCAACAAGCAAAAAATTATCATTGTATAACACCTAATTTCTGTTTTGGTAGGACTACTGGTTAACCTTCCTCTTCAAGAAGCTTGTGGGCAACGCCGTGTTCAAGCCTCGAGTCGTTGGCCCTCCCACCGTAAGAGCGTACTGCCACTGCATGAGGTCCATAAAGTAATTATGATGAATCTTTTTGTTATCACAAGTGTTCTGCACAGGAATACCGAACATCATTTGGGAAGGTTCTTGTTTGAAATCCAAAACATTGCTAGTATTTAAATTAATGAATATCATCTGGTTACATTACCAATGATTGTACTTTTGGATGTTAGAAGCAGTGACAGGGCACAGTGAAGGCAACAACTACAGGAGAAAATAAGTCCACGTGCTCATCTCAGGTTTGTTTGAGTGTCAACGATTGAAAATCAGTAGAACATAAAGTCTCGTGGGAGAAGACAAGCAATAATAGAACAATGATAAAATGTTGTTTTACCTTTCAGTTCATATTACTATCCACGTGGGAGAAAGACAAGCAATAATAGAACAATGATAAAATGTTGTTTTACCTTTCAGTCCATATTACTATCCACGTGGGAGAAAGACAAGCAATAATAGAACAATAGTATAATGTTGTTTTACCTTTCAGTCCATATTACTATCCACGTGGGAGAAAGACAAGCAATAATAGAACAATAATAAAATGTTATTTTACATTTCAGTCCATATTTCGATTCACGTGGGAGAAAGACAAGCAATAATAGAACAATAATATAATGTTGTGTTACATTTCAGTCCATATTACTATCCACGTGGGAGTCTGACTGTGTTTGCCATGAACCTGGACACTGTTGCAGTGAACTTGACTTTCCCAGAATACAAAGGCGGATACATGGACTACTTCCTGTTGTCACCGGAAGGAGATGATGTTCAGTCGAGGTATGACATCCTCGCAAAATAATTTGTTTTATCTGTTGGCATCCGTATTCGTTTAATGTACAAGAGCAGCTAATTTTCTGAGGGGATGAAGATAAAGACAAACACATAGTAAAATACAGCTTTGTTCCTGGTTTCGGCAGTTTTCATGAGGTCATGAGGGGCGGTCAGGTAGCCTAGTGGTTAAAGCGTTCGCTCGTCACGCCGAAGACCCGGGTTCGATTCCCGACATGGGTACAATGTGTGAAGCCCATTTCTGGTGTTCCCCGCCGTGATATTGCTGGGATATTGCTAAAAGCGGCGTAAAACCATACTCACTCACTCACTCACTCACTCTTTGGTCATGCTAGACGTACACACATACAACTGGAAGGGGAAAAGGCTCCGATAAATTCATACTAATATTTTAGTATTTTCCTACATCTAGGGTTCGCCATTCCCAGTGGGTGAAAAAGATCCTTAATGTACCTCCCTATTTATCACTGGATTGTCTTGTCCAGACTCGATTATTTACAGACCGCCGTCATATAGCTGGAATATTGCTGAGTGCGGCGTTAAACAACAAACCAACCAGCCCACCTAAACATAGCCCATTAAGTAATTTCTTAGAAATATACAGACCTTGTGTTACACGTGGAATGGCATTACTAAAGAGAACCCACATCGTGTAATGACACAAAATCTCTCTATCACCGAGAACATGTACTGAAAGGCTACTGAGACATATCTTTTGTCTCTTGCAGAACTGTGATCCTCAACGGCCACCAGCCTATCCATCTGGTTGAAAACGAGATACCCTTTCTGGTTCCTGGTGGTGTCAGCGCAAACACCATCACCCTCCCCTCGCTCACATACGGATTCTTTGTACTTTACGCTGACGCCCGTGTTTGTAAACCTGGCAACTAGACAATCAATGTGAAGGGTTGCTTAACGTCACAATACATTGTCCTGATTCCATCCGATATTTATATGTCTTTGACAAATGACTTCCGGCTGATTGTTCATTGTGTTGAAATGTTCCGACCAAGGATGTTGCTTATTCCTTTGCAAATTGTTAAGAGGTGGTCTACGGAGATCAAGGGAGAAGGGGAGAGCCTCGAGGATGGTCGAAAAGGAGGATGACGTTCAACTACCATCACTATGGAAAGTGTTCATAAAATATATATATGATATTATTGTGGATGATCGACTTCTAACAACACGTCACATACCAAATATAGTAGAGACATATGCAGTAAACTACGTTTATAGCGAACACGCTTATAACGAACTGACCGATATTACGAACTTATTTTGTGGTCCCGGCCAACTACTGTTTGTATGTTGACTGTATATATGCTTATAAAACGAACTGCGATTATAACGAGCTGAAATTAGTGGTCCCTTTTCGTTCGCAATAACAGTAGTTTACCATAGATACATATCACGGGAGACTTGAGAACTCTTTGAAGAATGAACTGATAATGACAAAGGTTTATCTGCACGAGGCTTCCTGATACGAAACTCTCCAGCGATTTGCAGCCATGGATAAGTCTTGAGTCCACTATCATAGAGTAAACAACAGTCAAAGCTGTTGAAATACCTAACGTCTTCTCCTCCGAAGTCTGTTCCATCCTCTGGCAAGGTGATACCTTCGGTTTACTGGGATTGCAATGGAATTCTTCTAGTGGACTAGCCTAAAGAATGTCAGACCATTAGCAGTTAATCTACTGAGGCAACTGCGTAAGAATATCAAGGCTTAACGTCGTTGAAATTAATAGAGCATCGTCCGTATTCTCCAGAGTTGGCAGCATCAGACTTCCGCCTTTTCCCAAACATGAATTTTTTATTTTATAGTAAGCATTATGCACAGGATGATGACGTCATTTGTGCGATGGAGTATTCACACCGCCTGCAGGAAACCCTCCACCAGTGGGTCCATGGCACTCACGCGTGTGTGTCCCTCAAAGGGGATTATGTTGAAAAATCATTTGCAACGTACGAGTACTTCGTCAAAGCAGCCCATCATGCAATGAAGATAGACTAAGGACTAAGGACTCAGCCGCCTATCGTAGTATGATCACGATCGCCGTCTTACATACAGCAGTGTCAATGGTATGTGTTACCATAAGTGGAAATCACAACTTCCAGTTGACAAACGACAGACCTAAATGTTTCCCTGCTACGCTGGAATGGTGCATTGACATAAAACAATCAGATCCACGGTCGCCTTGCAGAAGAAGCAAGGGTTTCTAGAGACCAAATCGAACCCGGAATCCCAACGAGATACATTCAGTGTGGATTGCAAACAATATAACATAAGATAGGTACCATGCCGAACATACCAGGGAATTGCATACAATACATCTCACGTATATTATATCAGACCTCCTTAAAATATCTACGTAAATTGCATACAATACAATAACAAATTCACACCTATCCTATTGATGTAGTCCGTCAATAATGACTGTAAAAATACAATCATCACTTTACAATTATTTATTCCAATATCCAATGCATCTATTGGAAATACCTATGATATTGACCTTTTGGGGGTGATGATCTAAAGCACTACCGATACCTGTATGGTCTCCATGACGACCTCAGGGACTTGGGATGAGAACAGGTATGTCTCTCTCTCTGATGCCCTTAAGGACGATGAGGGATGAGAACGGGTATGTCTCTCTCTGATGGCCTCAAGGACGATGAGGGATGAGAACAGGTATGTATCTCTCTGATGGCCTCAAGGACGATGAGGGATGAGAACAGGTATGTATCTCTCTGATGGCCTCAAGGACGATGAGGGATGAGAACAGGTATGTATCTCTCTGATGGCCTCAAGGACGATGAGGGATGAGAACAGGTATGTATCTCTCTGATGGCCTCAAGGACGATGAGGGATGAGAACAGGTATGTCTCTCTCTGATGGCCTTAAGGACGATGAGGGATGAGAAAAGGTATGTTTCTCTCTGATGGCCTCAAGGACGATGAGGGATGAGAACAGGTATGTATCTCTCTGATGGCCTCAGGGACGATGAGGGATGAGAACAGGTATGTATCTCTCTGGTGGCCTCAAGGACGATGAGGGATGAGAACAGGTATGTATCTCTCTGATGGCCTCAGGGACGATGAGGGATGAGAACAGGTATGTATCTCTCTGATGGCCTCAGGGACGATAGGGGATGAGAACAGGTATGTATCTCTCTGATGGCCTCAAGGACGATGAGGGATGAGAACAGGTATGTATCTCTCTGATGGCCTGAGGGACGATGGGGGATGAGAACAGGTATGTATCTCTCTGATGGCCTCAAGGACGATGAGGGATGAGAACAGGTATGTATCTCTCTGATGGCCTGAGGGACGATGGGGGATGAGAACAGGTATGTATCTCTCTGATGGCCTCAAGGACGATGAGGGATGAGAACAGGTATGTATCTCTCTGATGGCCTCAAGCACGGTGAGGGATGAGAACAGGTATGTCTCTCTCTGATGGCCTGAGGGACGATGAGGGATGAGAACAGGTATGTATCTCTCTGATGGCCTCAAGGACGATGAGGGATGAGAACAGGTATGTATCTCTCTGATGGCCTCAAGGACGATGAGGGATGAGAACAGGTATGTATCTCTCTGATGGCCTCAGGGACGTTGAGGGATGAGAACAGGTATGTCTCTGTCTCTGAAGGCCTCAAGGACGATGAGGGATGAGAACAGGTATGTATCTCTCTGATGGCCTCAAGGACGATGAGGGATGAGAACAGGTATGTATCTCTCTGATGGCCTCAAGGACGATGAGGGATGAGAACAGGTATGTATCTCTCTGATGGCCTCAAGGACGATGAGGGATGAGAACAGGTATGTCTCTCTCTGATGGCCTTAAGGACGATGAGGGATGAGAAAAGGTATGTTTCTCTCTGATGGCCTCAAGGACGATGAGGGATGAGAACAGGTATGTATCTCTCTGATGGCCTCAGGGACGATGAGGGATGAGAACAGGTATGTCTCTCTCTGGTGGCCTCAAGGACGATGAGGGATGAGAACAGGTATGTATCTCTCTGATGGCCTCAGGGACGATGAGGGATGAGAACAGGTATGTATCTCTCTGATGGCCTCAGGGACGATGGGGGATGAGAACAGGTATGTATCTCTCTGATGGCCTCAAGCACGATGAGGGATGAGAACAGGTATGTATCTCTCTGGTGGCCTCAGGGACGATGAGGGATGAGAACAGGTATGTATCTCTCTGATGGCCTCAGGGACGATGGGGGATGAGAACAGGTATGTATCTCTCTGATGGCCTCAAGGACGATGAGGGATGAGAACAGGTATGTATCTCTCTGATGGCCTCAAGCACGGTGAGAGATGAGAACAGGTATGTCTCTCTCTGATGGCCTGAGGGACGATGAGGGATGAGAACAGGTATGTATCTCTCTGATGGCCTCAAGGACGATGAGGGATGAGAACAGGTATGTATCTCTCTGATGGCCTCAAGGACGATGAGGGATGATAACAGGTATGTATCTCTCTGATGGCCTCAAGGACGATGAGGGATGAGAACAGGTATGTATCTCTCTGATGGCCTCAGGGGCGATGGGGGATGATAACAGGTATGTATCTCTCTGATGGCCTCAAGGACGATGAGGGATGAGAACAGGTATGTATCTCTCTGATGGCCTCAAGGACGATGAGGGATGAGAACAGGTATGTATCTCTCTGATGGCCTCAAGCACGATGAGGGATGAGAACAGGTATGTATCTCTCTGATGGCCTCAAGGACGATGCGGGATGAGAACAGGTATGTCTCTCTCTGATGGCCTCAGGGACGATGAGGGATGAGAACAGGTATGTATCTCTCTGATGGCCTCAAGCACGATGAGGGATGAGAACAGGTATGTATCTCTCTGGTGGCCTCAGGGACGATGAGGGATGAGAACAGGTATGTATCTCTCTGATGGCCTCAGGGACGATGGGGGATGAGAACAGGTATGTATCTCTCTGATGGCCTCAAGGACGATGAGGGATGAGAACAGGTATGTATCTCTCTGATGGCCTCGAGGACGATGAGGGATGAGAACAGGTATGTATCTCTCTGATGGCCTCAAGGACGATGAGGGATGAGAACAGGTATGTATCTCTCTGATGGCCTCAAGGACGATGAGGGATGAGAACAGGTATGTATCTCTCTGATGGCTTCAAGGACGATGAGGGATGAGAACAGGTATGTATCTCTCTGATGGCCTCAAGCACGATGAGGGATGAGAACAGGTATGTATCTCTCTGATGGCCTCAAGGACGATGAGGGATGAGAACAGGTATGTATCTCTCTGGTGGCCTCAAGGACGATGAGGGATGAGAACAGGTATGTCTCTCTCTGATGGCCTCAAGGACGATGAGGGATGAGAACAGGTATGTATCTCTCTGATGGCCTCAAGGACTATGAGGGATGAGAACAGGTATGTATCTCTCTGATGGCCTCAAGCACGATGAGGGATGAGAACAGGTATGTATCTCTCTGATGGCCTCAAGGACGATGAGGGATGAGAACAGGTATGTCTCTCTCTGATGGCCTCAAGGACTATGAGGGATGAGAACACGGAATGTTGATGGATTATACATCAAGAATAGGACAGTGGTAAGTAAAATATGTCTAAAACGGATTAAATTGGTATCATGTATTGGAGGGATTATCTCGGGCTACCAGTTACCCCATTATACACGCCGCTCTGTATTATCTAATCCGAGTCACATACCTTAATACATAAATAATGGATGACTGAACTTAACATATCCGTTTAGGGTTGTTATAGATTGCACAATAAACAGTCGCCACTATATGATGGTAACTTTGATCTTGTAATGACTAATTTGTACATATATTCTAGTTTCTTCAAACCTCTCAGGGACTAAATTATTATAAAATTAGCTCTACCAAAGCTGTAATATTTGATACCGGGCACATAGTTTGTATACAGTACCCA